ATTTATTCATCGAGTCTCGAAAAATCCATTCGTTCTTGTATCTTGTATCGTTGGTGCAAAGTGCAAGACTCGATTGGCGCGCACAATTAGCCTGTTGTACAGCGCATTCAGCGGTCTTTCTAGCTGCAGTTGGCCCCGTTTTGTTTGTACATGTAGAGCTGCTCGTCGTGTCAGTTGAGCGCGAAATCGCGAACAAATAGAGCCGGATCGGCGCCGCGTGCGTGTCTGACGTGGCAGGCCTTCAAGACAATGTCTGAGGTAGCTTTTCGGGAGCACAAATTGCAGGTGCCGAGTTGAAGTTGTTGTTGTTGTTGCTGCTGCAAGCTCGAGCGCCAAAGTAATCGTCCGCTGCTGATGTATATAGGTTGCAGGTATACTGTGCACGCGAAACAGCCGTGTGGAGAGCGAGCCGAGGCGATCTAATGCAGGTTGCTTGTTGCAGTTCCCCGAGCTGCTCTATATACATGTAAGACGTGCTGTACATAATGTTGGACGCGGCGCATTCATGCCGTAGACACGTATCGTGTATGTGTGTGTGTTTTGTGGCGAACATCGGGCTGTTGTGCTCGTGTTTACATAGGTGCACCTCTACACGACTCGTCCGTCTACATAACGCTTCCGATGTGTATCTAATCGTCGCGAGCTAATGGATGAGCGCCTCGAGCTGCTCCAAGTTTTCGGCCTCGCGAGCTTCAGCAAACAATAATCTTCGGCACAGTTTTCTAGGAAGATGTACGTACAAAATAATGCGCGCTTAGGGGCCATAAATTTGCTCGGATAATTAGACTGGATAATTACGAATAGATCGTACGAGGGCGATTACAAATCGCTCTCGCCAGCTCGTAAGATGTATATAATTGGCTTTTTCTATAAGTCGTGTATATCGATACACTCGCTCTCCTGCTCGTCCGGCTATTTTTTATTCTTACTCGTCTTTTTGCGCCTGCCAAGACCATTAATTCGTCGATATATATGAGCAATTCTCCAAATGAAACGCATTTTTTGAGGTAGAATCGCGACAAATTTTTTTTTCAACCTACGCGGATACGGACCCCCGGGAAATGTTTTTGGGGGTCCTAGGAACATCTAACCACGTAGGAACCATTGAAATTTCAATAGTGCTTATTTTTATAGCTACTTTTGTGATTTAGAGGACGAAAAATCATGTTTTCTCGTAAATACGGCTAATTACTCAATTTCTAACTCGCTGAAAAAGTATCAAAACTCATCTAAAAAAAAATAACTGGCTACTGTGTTAGATAGGAAATTTTCTCAGCTTTCCACTGGTGGTATCAGATATTCCGATAAGTCGCACATTCGCCGAGAAAATCGCCATCAAAAGTGCCAAGCTAAATATCTCGAAAAACTCGGTAAGGAAAAAGTGATCTTTGAGGTTTAATTTCGATTTTTCCTCGTGAAAATGAAATTTATCGAAAAATCTGACTACACCATAAGAAAGCTGAGGAAATTTCCTATCGAAAGCATATCTTTATTTATTTTTTCGGTGGAATTACGAGCTAGTTTTGATTGTAGCGAGCCGAAAACCTCGCGACCGCGCTGAATCAGCTCGGAAACAGAAAACAGCGAACAACGTGAAAGAAATTCCTATGTATAACATTGTAATTCCACCGAAAAAATAAATAAAGATATGCTTTCGATAGGAAATTTCTTTGGCTTTCTCATGGTGTAGTCAGATTTTTCGATAAATTTCATTTTCACAAGGAAAAATCAACAATTATCCAAAAAGTTCACTTTTTCCGTACTGAATTTTTCGACATATTTAGCCTTTAATGTGTGATGGTGATTTTCTCGGTGAATGTGCAATTTATCGGAAAATCTGATACCACCATTGGAAAGCTGAGAAAATTTCCTATCGAACACAGTAGTCAGTTATTTTTTTTAGATGAATTTTGATACTTTTTCAGCGACTTAGAAATTGAGTAATTAGCCGTATTTACGAGAAAACATGATTTTTCGTCCTCTAAATCACAAAAGTAGCTATAAAAATAAGCACTATCGAAATTTCAATGGTTCCTACGTGGTTACAGGTTCCTAGGACCCCCAAAAACATTTCCCGGGGGTCTGTATCCACGTAGGTTGAAAAAAAAATTTGTCGCGATTCTACCTCAAAAAATGCGTTTCATTTGGAGAATTGCTCATATACGCGTGCAATATTTTTATTTTCTGGCTGCACCACGGCTTCTTCTTCGTCTTCTCGTTCCCTCGAGCGCGTATGCGGTAATCCGAGAAGAGCCGATTTTTTACGCCTGCGAAGATCCGCGCTTGATTCTTATGCTCTTATTTTCTTTTAGTTTTGTACATTATGACTCCTCGCGAGTTACGGAAAAGCACGACGTCGCGTACAGAGTCGAGAGGGCATAATAGTTTCAATTGCCACCAGCTCGACTTCAATAACCATCGCAGAGCACCCAGGATACTTAATTTTCACGATCGTCCATATGAGAGCCTCGCGCGCATTTCATCCTCGCGTTATGCGTGTATGCTGCTATGTATGTAATAATACGTGCGCGCAGGCACGTGCCAAAGAGAGAAGAAGCCAATTACCCTGCCGCTGCTGCAGCTCATTCTTATAATATATAAAATATATAATAAAATATAACGTAATGGCGCTCTCGCGATCCGGTGATGACGAGCAGTGAGTATGCGTGCATGAGTGTGTGCTGCCTCGTCATTTGCATACGTGCACCAGCGTATTAAGTACACGCGCGAAGAGATAACGCGTTTCTATTAGCGACTTGTGCCTATAAATAAAGACGACTTTTGCGCGCGCGCGCATATATATAATAAATTTTTACAATTATATACTTCTGTATCTGCGCAGTGGCTTTTTTTTGCAAACAAGGTTTTCTCGAATATGTAATTGATACATCAACCGTACAAACGCTTATAATATAGAAAATACTAATTCGTGACTCTCTCGTTTTATTTTGCAGAATTTCCGAGATCATCGAATAGACGGCACGACGCTGCCTCTGCTCTCGGAGGAGCATCTCACCGGGCCGATCGGCATGAAGCTCGGGCCGGCCCTCAAGCTGCGCGCCCTGCTCGCGCACAAGATCGGCGCTTGCACGGTCTGTCTGCACTGCGCCCACTGCCATCACCAGCAGTCGTCGAGCAGCAACAACAACAGTTCGACGAGCGGCGGCGGCAGGGGTAGTCCGCCCCAGCAGCCGCAGAACTCGCTCAACAGCAGCGGTCGAAGGCCCAGCAGTACCGGCAACTGACACCCGATCGAGGCGGAGCTCAACAACAACGGCTACGGCGACGAGAGCAAAGATCAACGCTCGCGGCCGAAATCGCTGTTCAAGAAGCCTGCCAGGCGCGGCTTGTCGGCCAGAGTCAGCTCCGCCCGCAATAACAATGATCATAATCGTAATCGTAACAAGATACAGTGTTGAAGAATGCGAGCGCTTTGATTTTTCGTGCAAAAAAAGGCAAACTTGTTATATCGTTTTAGGTGTTTTTTTTTTGTTTTGGATTAATTTCATTCTTTGCCCGACTGCGGTGGTGAGTTTGTTTCGAAACTCTTAAAATCCATCGCTTGTACAAAAACGATTCGACGCCTTCCACACACGCATAAACACGTAAAAGGAACCGATTAATGTGATTTTAACGAATAGACAAAATGCGACGGGGTGCAATATTTTTAAATGTTAAAATAACTGTATAACGTTGCGAACGGTAACACACACAACGAATTGTAATCTATTTATAAACTGTGCAAGTCAAACCGAGTGCGTGTAAAAAATTGTTTAGCAATGTAATGTATCGTGTACATAAAGGTTGAGTGATAATAATTTTATAATATTTTTATCTTGATATGTACTGTAAACGAGAGCCGGAATATTTTATACTGATGTAATTGTTCAAAAAAAAAAATTTATTAATATCGTGTATTATTACGTAATTACGTTGAAACGAAAAAAAAGCAAGGCAGAAAGAGAGAGAGATTGAAAAGCAGTATTTTTTCTAGTTGTGTATACAATTTTTCGAGAGCGACCTTTTGAATGTGTGTGCGTATCGATGTATCATAAATACGTATTTCACTCGTCTAATGTTGTGCTAAACAAAATGCGTTTTAATCGAATTTTACAGCGTACTTAAAAAATATATATGTATATTATATATATGCGATATAATATATTAACTGATATATATATTGTTACGTAACAATATTTAAAAAAAATGTATATTTTATATTATATATAGGCATAAAAGTTATTTATACATATTCAATTTATCGATGTAAAGAGCTCTATACTGGTATATTTAACGAGCATAACACATAATAGAAATTTAACGTTAAAAAGAAAGTATGATCGATCTCCAAATGTGTGCGTATCCGCAATATAAATATTATATAAAACTATCTATTAAGTGGCGTTTACTTAATTCATTAACAAATAATAATAACATTTATTCGGTTCGTAATAATTTTGTAAATATTATCGCGCTTGAGCATTTATTTATTTTTTAAATATATAGTGCTTTTTAAATGAGAGAGAATGTCAGAGTGATAGCAGAATAGGATTTCACTTAACAAGTCAGACATATGATCGACGATTGTTTTACTACTACTTAACTTCTTGATGTTTTAGATTATTTATCTTATCGGACGATTAAAGGGGGGAGTTAAACGAACGTGGTAGAAATACGAGTTGTCTAACTGCGGACTGTACAGCACTTAAAGCCACACACTATTTTTGTGATCCATTCAACAATGTAATTCTATACATTTTCAAATGATTATTTTGTTCAACTTTCCTAGTTTTTAAAAAGCTACGATTTGTGAAAAAAAATAATTTTGAATTCTATATGATTAGATATTATGCAGTCCATTATGTATCTCAGTAAAATGAAAATGTCAAAGATCATGTGTAAATTATCGACCGTTAACGAGTGTATGATCCGCGATGTTAATTTTTACTTACCAAGGTACATACACTATTTTTCATGATCAGTGTCCAAGACAAACAATATTTTATATTTAGTGCAGCGCCTCTTTCAAAGAAGCTCGCATAAAATTGTATTTTAATTCAAAGTCCAGTAAGTTATATCAAGCATCGAACGTAATCAATTTTCATTGTATACTTGGAGATATTGTTGATTTGTAAAGTAGACAATTATTCAAGGTGAAAAGTGAACAGTGCATTGTTTCTGTTGAAATAAATTCGTTGAAAATTACTTTTATTGAGTCGTTAATCAAGACCTCAACATTTTTTTAATGAAAAGTAGTGAAAATGTTTAGCTTCTAATTTTCAGCTTGCCTTCTCACAGTTGATTTGGATGGTGTTTATTTTTCCCAACTTTGGCCTGAAAAAAAAAAAACAAATCGAAATCAATTTTTGATAAATACAGCTCCGTACCCATTTCAAAACAAAATACCGACACCCGTGTGATAGGCGACGACTCCGTCGTGCCTACTGGTCAAAATCTCGATCTGAGCGTTGCCCTGCGCGTCGACCTCGATCGAGTGTCCGGTGCAGCGTCCGTTCCTCAGCTCGCCCGAGATGACGTCGCAGTAGGTGCCGGCGGGCAGACAGGTGCGCAGCTTCCTTCTGAGATCGCTGTTCTCCGTGTTGATGGCGAAGAAGCCGACGTCACCCCGGCAGAAGGCCACCTGGCCGTTGCCGTTGTCCCACCATCTCTTCATCGGGGCCTTGCCCACGTGATTCCTGAAGCCGACCATGTTGTAGATCTGGCGCCACCTGTGCTCGCACACCCAGCCGTTGCTGCAGGTGCCCTCGGCGCTGATGGGCGACAGTATGTTGCCGTACTCGTCGGCGGGGGGTCCCTGCTCGAAGCCTTTGAAGTCGTACGAGCTCATGACGCGGGGATGACCGTAGGGATGCGCCAGCATGAAGGCCACGGCCATCTATTATTGTTGTGACGTATTTTTATTTAGCTTACCTCGACAGAAGTGGCTTTCGGGTATAATTTTTTTATATTATTATTAAGGGCTCTAAGCTAGCTTAAAATCGAAAAAATTTTTATTTCATTTTCGAATAGAATTTTTTGTCCCCTCTCCATTGCTTTTTTCGAAACTTCAAAATTTTGATCCTTTTGTGAGATACAGCTGTTTCCCTGAGCCATTTTTCTATACTTTGCGTATTAAATTTTTTCTTCTTTTGCTCTTTCTGGCGTTTTACGTATTTACAAAGTGCAGGTCACTTGTCGTAACATTCAGAGCGTACCGATTGAGTTACAGCACCAGGGTCGCGTACACTTCTTCAGAACATCAATGGTTACGGTCACAACCTCGGGCGAGGTGATCGAACTCATAGGTCACTTTCAATCAGTAGATTCATGATGGAGGTCACAAAAAAAAACGTAAAATGAAAAAAAAATTGTGCTTCAGTGTTTGTGCAGGGTGACCCGAGGGTTGGATCGACACGCCCGAGGTTGTGACCGTAACCATTGATGTTCTGAAGAAGTGTACGCGACCCTGGTGCTGTAACTCAATCGGTACGCTCTGAATGTTACGACAAATGACCTGCACTTTGTAAAAACGTAAAACGCCAGAAAATGCAAAAGAAGAAAAAATTTAACACGCAAAGTATACGAAAATGGCTCACGGAAACAGCTGTATCTCAGAGAAGGATCAAAATTTTGAAGTTTCGAAAAAAGCAATGGAAAGGGGACAAAAAATCCTACTCTAAAATAAAATAAAAATTTTTTCGATTTTAAGCCCCCTTTGAGCCCTTCACTAAGATTATAAAAAGTCATTAATTGTTTTTTTTAACTGAAAAGTAGTTGAAATTTCTAGTCAGATGATAATTAAAAAAAATTATACTTTTATATACTTTCTAAAATCTTTACTCAATCACTTATACTCAATTTTCAATTTAAACTCGAGACTTTTCATCCAAAAATTTTTCCTCTTATAAATTTTTTTAAATCGAAATAAATGGTTGGATTTTGGGCTCGAAAATTACCTTATAAAGTCGGAACTCTCTGTATGTTAGCGGAGTCATGAATCCTTCGCGCTGAGTGTCGTGATTGTCGACGAAAGTGACCGCATCGTCCGAGGGCAGCAGTCCCCAAGTGGTACCCCAAGTCTTGAAGTACTTGAGCGGATTCTGGCCGCGAATTCCATTGCACAGCTCTCTGCCGTGCTTGAACTCGAGCACCGCGGCGAACTCGTTGTACTCGAACTTGGAGATGGACTCACCGCCGTAATCGATGACCTCCTGGAAGATGAAGGGCCTGGAGTTGGGCGGAAATCCGTGCTCGACGTTCAGATTCTTCAGCTTCGAGTAGATGTACTTGAGATCTTCGGGCCACATGTGTTTCGCCGCGTCAATACTGAAAAGTGTACGACAATTGCGGTAATCATCTTTCGTTGCGCGAAATAATTATTGTTATAATTTACCGGATTCCCGCGACCCCGGCATCGATGGCTTTATTCAGAAAAGCGATCATTTGCTTTCTAACGTGATCCAATCTCTGATTCAAATCGTGCAAGCCCACGAGCTCGCAATCTCTGACGGTCTTTGCATTGTTGTAGTCGATACCGCAGGGCTCGTTGAAATGTTTCCTCTCGAACGGCACGGCGGGATAGCTGAATTTATGGGGGTCGGCCGTGGAACCACCGGTTCCGACGGCTTTTTCGTGATTGCCGGTCATGTGATTCAACACCGCGTCGACGTAGATGCGAACTCCGGCCTTGTTGCATCGGCGAACCATCGAGCGGAATTCTTGCTCATTGCCCGATCGAGTCGACCATTTGTAGGAGATCGGCTGGTAGCGCTCGTACCAGGGACGATTGGGAATTATCACGTTCTCTTGTATCGGTGAAACCTGCGAATCGTCGAGTTTGATAACGAGCTTTTTTTTTGATCTCGAATAAGTTTGCAATACCTGAACACCACCGAATCCCTTGGGCCCTAAGAATTTTTCGCACTCGTTGGCGATGTCGTTCCACTTCCACTCGAACAAATGGACCATCGTCGTTCTGTGGCCTACATAGTGAGGATTTTTCGTCGCTCCGATCGACAATACATTAAAAGAAACGATAATGCACAAGAGTACCAGTGACAGCTGTTTCAACATATCGGCAGCTGTTTCTCTACTAAGCTACGATCGCTAAATCATCTCAATTGTACTATTTGAAAATTTTGTTACGTCGTGCCTAGGATATAAACTACAATTTTTCATTGTATCGGCACGAGCGTTTTTTTATTATCTTCTGTGTGACTTTAAAATGTTTTTTAACGCTTCCAGAATATTCGATCAAAAATTGAAATTGGCTTTGGGGAGAAAAAAAAGAAGTAACGATTTATTTTTGTAAATTGATTTGCTTATTTACATCAATGTTTATTCTTCGTTCACTTATCGACTAAAACTCTGTCAAAGAGTTTGTAAATACAAATTCATCGTACATAACATCTTACATCGTAATAATTAAGCATTTAAATTAATTTATTACTTCGCTAGAATACTTTTTTTTTTTACAAATTTTTACAATTTTCTCGACGAGTCCGTGTGTTTGTTTACGCTGCCTTGGCCTGCAAAAAATTTATAAATACACATAAATTTTCGATTCACGTCGTTATTCGACCTACAAAAGTCAATCATCATCGTGTACTCACAGCCGTGTGATAAGCCACGACACCGTCGTGAAAACTGGTCAGAATCTCCACGTCCGCCCACCCGTGCTCGTCCACCCTCAGCGACAGACCCGAGCAGCGTCCATCCACCAGGTCACCGGTGATCAGGTCGCAGTAGATTCCCGCCGGCAGGCACGTCTGCAGTCGCTGCCTCAGATCGGCGTGTTGGGTGTTGATCGCGACGAAGCCGCGATTGCCGCGACAGAAGGCAACCTGGCCCAGGCCGTTGTCCCACCAGTTAGTAAGCTCGGTGCCGGCCACGTGATTCCTGAAGCCGACCATGTTGAAGATCTGACGCCACCTGTGCTCGCACACCCAGCCGTTGCCGCAGGTGCCGTCGCTCAGGATCGCCGGGGATATCAGGTTGCCGGACTCGTCGGCGGGCGGGCCTTGATCGAAGGCGGAGAAGCGGAAGGAGCTCATGACGCGGGGATGACCGTAGGGATGCGCCAGCATGAAGGCCACGGCCATCTAGAGAGAAATTTTGCGAGTCGAGTATGTTAGAGCTTTTTATCGGATTAGATAAGGATCGGGCAATTTTTTTGGTCATCGCCGATAATTGTGTCGCGTCATTGTTTATATCTTGACACACCTCCAGCGGTGATTTTTTTTAGGACGGGTCATCCGATCGATCTTCGCGATTACGATCTCGTTATACACGAGCGCGTAAAAAATCACGTTTCGATTCAATGATTACCAAATTTTGGGAATTTCGCCATCAAAAAGTTGAAAAAAAAAATGACACTCTGGTATTACCCACCTTGTACATACGGAATTCCTTGTGAGTCAGGGGCGGACTGCCACCACCGTCGCGCTGAGTGTCGTGATTGTCGACGAAGGTGACGGCGTCCTCGGAGGGCAGCAGTCCCCAGTGAGGGCCCCACGTCTTGAACCACTTGAGCGGATTCTGGCCGCGGATACCGGCGCAAAGCTCGCGGGCGTGCTTGAACTCGAGCACCGCCGCGAACTGATTGTACTCGTACTTGGACACGACCTCGTTGCCGTAGTCGATCACCTCCTGGAAGATGAAGGGCCGCGAGTTGGGCTCGAAGCCGTGATCGGTATTGAGATTCTTGACTCGAGCGTAAATCTGACGGAGATGATCGGGCCACATGTGTTTGGCCGCGTCGATGCTGCACGAGAGAATAACAAAAGACGATGAGTAAATAATACTTCGAGAATATCGATAACCGATTTCGCTCTTAGACGCTCACCGGAAACCAGCCACGCCGGCGTCCACGGCTTTGTCCAGAAAAGCCACTATCCTGTCCTGCACCTCTGGCCGACTCTGGTCGAGATCGTGCAGACCGACCAGCTCGCAGTCCCTCACCGTCCAGGCGAGTCCGTAATTGATGTCGCACTTGTCGTGAAAGCTCTCGCTCGTATACGGGACCGCCGGGTACTCCTTGCCGTAGGCCCGCGAGCCACCGGTGCCCCGGGCGTTCTCCTGTCCGGCGGTCATGTGATTCAACACCGCGTCGACGTAGATGCGAACTCCGGCCTTGTTGCAGCGTCGAACCATCGAGCGGAATTCTCGCTCGTTGCCGGAACGGGTGGACCATTTGTAGGAGATGGGCTGGTAGCGCTCGTACCAGGGACGATTGGGCACGACGATGTTCTCGGTGATGGGAGATACCTAATGAAAAATTTCGGTGATTTCGGGCAAACGATAAATAAATAAAATAAATGAACATTTATGTACCTGAACGCCGGCGTATCCCTTGGGCCCGAGAAATCGTTCGCACTCGTCGGCCACGTCGTTCCACTTCCACTCGAACAAATGGACCATCGTCGTCCTGTTGCCCACGTAGTGTGGATTCTTCTGCGCCGAGGCCACAGTCAGCAGCAGGCCGACGACCAGAAAAATCGCCGAAAACTCAAACGTCAGCATGGCTGTGACCGGGGATATCCAAAAAAAAATAATAATAATAATTCACGATCGTCGAGATCGGATCGGTTAATGAACGATGGCCAGCTTGAGCGAGCCTCTTTTATATACGTGACGACGAGCGACGACCGACTACTGGAGTACTGCTGCTATGTGCGTCGCGTCGCACTGGTGCACATGTTGTACGAATAGCAAACAACACAACGCCTGTAGACGTTTGCTGCTGCTGCTGCTGTTATCTCATCTTTTCAAGTGGGATTTCGTCGATGAATTTTTAATCGAGCCTCGGTGATGAATCATTGTTTTGGAGGCAGCGCGAGGCAAACTTGTGTTTGGCACTTGTCGCGCACGTACACATACGTAATATATAATATTGACTCTGGAGAGCGATCGTTATTCAATTATTCGATATATTACAACAATGTATGTATTATTATCGTTGTCGAGAGCGTGCGCGACACGAGCGCGATTACGATCGTCTCCTTTTTATTTATTAATATTATAATAGCAAAGATCTATGCACACACAGTTGGCGATGATGATGCTCAAGCCGATCGAGCCGGTTCGAACTGCTGTTAGAAAAGAATAGACAAAAGACTAGACAAACGAAAAACAAACGAAAAAAAAATAAATCGCAGCGCAACTGGTGCAGAGGGCCGCGAAATCCGATACACGTACAATAAATATAGGTACCTGCGTACGTGGATGGATGGACGGGTGCATATATAACGCATTCCATTGCTTATAGTTCTGTGCAGGAGGAGTCTGCAGTGATCAAGCTCTACCTGTATACGTATACACATATCATAAAGGAATAAAGATGAAAAAAATTAAAAAGAAGTAGAGTCGAGAGTCGCAGCTGCTGCTGCTGCTGCATAGGCGAGCGATCGGCTCGTCGTGATTCTCCTGCATAGCACTCGGCTACCGGTCGTGCACCAGGCCTCGCCCTTTTTTACCCTTCCAGTTCTCCAACAGCAGCAGCTGCCTCATATATATAAATCCTAAGCGCACGCATTCCATCTCGCGCGTTGCTTTTACAGGATAATACGACGGTCGCGCAGCGATTGTACAAAAAAATTTTAACCGATCGTGGAAAATCAGTTTTTCCGATTGCTGAATCATATCGAAGTAAGTAAGTGATATCGCTTATTGCTCTTTAGCAGATTTTGCTGCATCATCGATAAAAGTTGCGAGCTTTACATCTCCTTGGGATAAACCATTATCGTCGCGAGAAAATTTTTTTTCATGATAATTTAGGTTTTGAATTTTTCGTAAATATTTCTAAGTATGTTTTATCGTATAATTTTAGAAGACTTAGAACGCGAATCACGCTTCAAAAACTTTCTTTAATTTTTTGTACATTTAACTTCAGGTAGGAAAAACTGCCAGTATTGGGGCATCTGGCACTTTTCAAACACTGAGTACTGTATCCTGGGCAAGGAGTAACTCTGTCCGATGGAATGCCAGAATTTTTCATATTTTTATACACGTTCAACCTCTCCGTTCAGAATTAACGCTCGTCTAGTGTAATTTGAAATAATAATCGCGTATAAACCTCGAAAAGTTGCCGTTTTTTAGGAGACAACCAACGTGTACATGCACATTAGGTAAGAAGTTAAATTTCACTAAAAGGAATATAATAAATAACTCAACATGTTTATAGAATAAAAAATATTATTAAAAGTTTATGGGTACAAAATTCAATCATGCCATTAATTTAACTAATTTCTATTTTTTTTCTTTACGTATTCGCAGAACCACAAATTTCTTATCATCTGTGACGGATGCAGCAGGAATACATTTAGCAAATTCAAATAATTTTTTAGTACTTGTTCTAATAAACATTGTATGAAACAGTTCCATATTTAATTTGTAATCCCATATTATTAGTCCTAGTATCATACAATGTAACAACCCTTTATGTTGCAAAGAATCAGGCTTGAGTCTGTAAATTATAAATAAGATATACAATAACAAGTATTATTTAATTATACCCTATGATTAAATGATGAAAATTACCTTCCATTATTCATACTGTAATTTTGTAAAACATAAGAGTGTACATCGTCAGAATGTTCACATGCATTAAAATTCTTAGATTTTGCTAATTTTACAGGTGTATTTAACCACTTAGCTATCGCTTCAATGTACAGCAACATTTCGATTTTAAATTCTGATTTAGGATCTGTTTTAATATATTCAACAGTTTTCTTGAAAAATGTTGGCTTGCTAAAAATATAGAAAAATAATTATTATTAAATATTTTACTTAAAATAAAGTTATAACCTGTATTATGATACTCACTCTACAATATCACTTTCAGAAATTTTGACTGACGCAACAGATAAAGTTTTTAAAATTTTCTTTGGAACAATATCATAAATATTATAAATTTCAGACTCATGCTTGGCATCTTTATTACAAGGTGGCAAAATGGTTCCATCAATCAAATCATCTTTTGCACTCTTTTCTAAATCTTCTGTGGCAATTGGAATATCTAAAAAAAATATTAAAAACTAAATTTTTGTTTTTTTTTTATTACAAAAAAAAGTACATAATATTTACCTTGAACAGTTTTCTCCAATGATTCTTTAATATCTTCAATTTTGACTTTCATCTTTTCAAACTGTTCTGTTCGTCTTTTTATTTTTTTAGATCCAAACTTTTTATTTAACTCAGCATGTTTATCTAAATTTTCATTATCATTATTGTTAATATGTTGGTCTAACACAGGAGCTACATCCCAATGTTCTGCTTGAACTAATCTAACTTTTCCAGTTTTTTTATTATGAATTGCCAACATTGTATAAGTTAGTTCTTTTTCAAGATCTGGTCTAAGACCTCTATAAACCACTTGACCATTAGACATTACCAGAACTACTTTCTGTTTATCCTCATCATTGTATAATTGACATTTCATTTTATTTGTTTCTTCGTCTTTAAGTTGACCATTTTGAAAATGAACTGCAATTTAAAATAATAACTATTATTCTATCGAATCTTAATTCAGTTTAAGAAAATCTTTTAAAAAGTTCAACAATACATACCAATTATGGGTTGAATTTTATTTGGTTTGACAATAACACTGTCTATAATAGCTTCTGTTGGCTTCTTCATTTTTTTTTTATTTTTAAAAATATATTTGTCTTGAAATATTTATTTCTTATTTGTCTATATTTGTCTAATGTAAGTTTCGGTTGATAATGCACAAACTTGTTATCGACGATACTAATTTTTGATGAAATTCAGATAAAAAAAGACGTTACACATCAAAATCACAAATATAACAATAACATTGGCTTTAATATCTTACACAGTAGTAAGTTTCTACTTCTCTGTACTAAATTGACATTATCCGAGCAGTACGCGACACGTGTTTTCACTTTATATTACACGAGGCGACGCGACGTAAATACTAGCAGACGTACTACCGGTACGGTCACGGAACATGTGTAAATTAACATTGAATGCATAGAGGCGCTGTGGTATCGCATATACTCCTCAATTTTAAAAAGTTCAATTCTGTTCATTAAAAAGAAATTGGTGGATATACCAAGCGTTATTTTTAGGTATTGAAAAGTAGCAAAAAATTGATATTTTTCTAGCGATGAATGATTTTTAATTCGTTCAATGTTCTTGACGAAAAAACTAAGAAAGGAAGTTTTTGTTTAGAAATTTCAAAGAAATTTAAAAACATTTTTTCTTTTGCAAAAAATTTGTTAACAAAACTAGTAAAAAATAATTGTTAATACAAAAAGTGCGAGTTTTGGAATTCCAGAAAACGTGATCGAGCACGAGAATGATTTGAGCACGCGTGGCGCGCTGAAAGATGCTAGTAGTTAGTACATACATAAAACAAAGACATATTTGCTTTGAATATCTATTATACACTTAACGTGTAATTCTTTCAACTCTTTCAAAGTAATGGTATTCAATTTTCAAACGATAAATTTGAAAGTGACTTCGCAATTTATCGAAAGTCAATTGAAACATAATGTATACCTTACGAGCAGTACATGTGTTGATGATGATTCAGCTGGACAAACTGCACTGTTAATGTTGAGGTCAAATCTAACCACGTGCTGTTCGAAATAATAAATAAATAAGAGTAAAAAATTAAGCAAATCATTTGGCAAAAAATAATGACACTTTTTCAACGAAGCTTCTAAACCCAGCAACGATAAGGCTGCGATGATTTTGCAAGTCACCACCGTACTTGAGTTTGTGGAGTTCTCACCTGCGCTTTCCACTGATCTCACAGTATTATTAAAAAACATAGTGCGACAAACACATCCACCATGCGGAAATGTTGACGCGGAACACAAAGAAAAAAAAAATATTCATGACTTGTTTCATAGCAGAATCAGGTTTTACCTATGGTTTTGGGTTCAGTGGAAAATATCTGAAATCGATCGGTTAAAAAAGAATTGGAAGGAATAGCTAAGATTATGATTACCAATAATATGTCTCACCTTGATCTCTGCAAAACTAGCCCTGATAAAATTTGTAAAATTGTAGGAAACTCAAAGTATGTGTCAAAAGTGAATTTGATAAATTTAAAAAATGACTTTCCATATTTAGGAGCATTTATTAAAGGACAAATTAATAGATGTTTAATTACAACATATCGCAAACATATTGTACCAGAATTTTTGCATTTATTATTCCCCATTCTGTAACCAGAATTGGAAATTGAAAACATTGTAAAGTATTTAAACAATGATAATATATTGGATCTTGGTGCTATAGCTATGATTCAAGATGATATTTATTCAAAATATTTGAATGGTTTTGATTAATAATCATAAAACTATCATAATTATTAGGTGATAACGTGTTTTCATTTGATGAAAAATATATTTTTCATATTCAAGTAATTACACAAATTTAAATACTTCAACATTTTTTAATGAGTAATTTTTTGCTTTAAAGTGCATTTCAATATTTATAAGTTACACCTAAAGTTAATGTAGTAATATATAATTCTTAATAGATATTACTTTGGAGAATTTATAAATAAAATATATCTTGACTCAATCTTTCAAGCAGCAACGAAAACACAGCAAATCCTCTCGATGCCTTACCTTTCATTATTCGCGTATAATAAAGACACGAGCTTTTTTCAGAAAATATATAAAAGTACCTTCGTTCTATTCGTTCGTTACATAATGCTCGTCGATTGCTTTCACAAATATTATCGGATTGAATCTTGCGCGAGTTTCCATCAGTGCTCCCGGGTACACCATCAGTTGCGATTAAAATGACGATGAGTGTTGTGTTTATGATATATCATGAAAAACATCGAGAAGATGTCATATACTTTTTCAAAACAAATGCAATAGATTAACAATGAAACGTACAATAACTAATAGACTCGATATTGTTTATTAATGGTCGCGTTATTCGTAAATCTGATTCTTTAAAATCAAAAAACTGTTCAAAGCGTATCGCTAAAATACAAATGTCAAATTTGCATCACCGACAGACTGACTCCTTGGCGTATACAGGCGCTCAGTGCCCTCTACGTCAACGAGTCACAACACATAACGAACAAAGGACAAAGGTCGATGCAATCGAGTCACGGAGGTGATTCATTCGGTAGCAACTTGGTTGTTGGTTACTCGCGCGATCAGCAAAATCAAGTTGTTTTTTTGTATATCGAATACCGCATCGTACTTTCAACCTAGTGCACGATGAAGCAAACAAATCACGAAGCCACTTCGAGTCAAGAATCTAACTACGTTCGAACTGACGCCCACGCAAAATCTCGTTCCTTGAACGACGTCCTGAAAACCACCATCGAACACTTGAGATTGTGCAAAACCCTTGTATTTCCATCAAGAGAAATAATACCCGGTTCTCTCGACGAACGCACCGAGACGGCCGTACATCTCGCGGCGAGAGATCACTTCTCGAGCCTCGCGATGGACTACGTGATCATGGCGCCCCAGATCGATTCGCTGTTCCAGTACTACGGCAATGTGAATTACATATCGCCGGTGGACGGCTTGTCGCATTTTCACGTGGCCTGTCAAGTCGGCAACCTCGAGATGGTGCGTGAATTCGTCGACAACGGCGTCGACGTCGATCTCGCCTGTCGCAACTTGCCGCGGACTCCGCTGAACACGACGGTTTACTTCGACCAGGCCGAGGGCGAGGACGATCGCGTCTCGATTCTCGAGCTGCTGCTTCGGAAAGGCGCCAGTCCCAACGAACTTTTCGAAGACGGCAAGAGCCCTCTGCACTGTCTCTGCTACACGTTTTTGGAGAGCGAAGGGTCCGCTCGAGACGACAAATTGAAAATGATCGAGCTGCTTTTGCGCTACGAGTGCGACGTCAACACGACGGACATGTTTGGCTCCAGTCCGATATTTTCGTTATTTCGCGATTTCACCACCAAGGACGCCGATCAAGTGAAATTGCTAGAGATTTTACTTGACCACGGTGCCGATCTCAAAGCCGTCGATAGCTCGGGACACACCATACTGCATCGGATCATTCGACCGAATCTACCCGAGTACTGTGAGGTTGGCAACTATGAGAAACTTTTCAACGACGACATCGGCGCAGAGGTGGTGGCGTTGCTTTTGAAACACGGAATCGACGTCAATGTTAAAGACATAATGGGCCGCACTCCTTTGCAAATTGCCGTAAGCAATTTGAACTCCGACGTGGTTCAACTACTACTGGATCATGGAGCTGACCTTTCTGGAATTGCGATCGAAGGAGGCTACTTTGACCATGATTTCCTGCCTACGCTGGAGATGACTCGAAACCTTCTTGACATAATTCAACTCTTGGAAAGTAAAGGATACAGCATGGACATGAAAAAGAGATCGCAAGTTCTAACATTTTTGGTTGGTTCTAATCAATTTCTCTGCAATTTGAGGACCATTCATTTACTAGATTATAGTGAGTATATTCATTGTATATAATCGCAACTTAAAATTCCAAAGTAAACATTATACATTTTTACCAGGTTCAGACTTTCAAGTTTATCATTTTATTAAGAATTTTCTACGAGATTTCTGCAGTTTGGAGCATTGGATTGAATCTGAAGAAGCTGTGAACAGATACTTTGCGCCTGTAGTACTAGGAGATTTGTATACAAGTAATCCTATTTATACTTTTTCTGATCAAATTGATGATTTCAATGCAATCGATGAAGTCCAAAAAGAGTTGGAAGTTATTGCTAGCATTATGATTACCAAACATATTTCGCTCCTTGATCTTTGCAAAACTAGTCCCGATAAAATTTATAAAACTATAGCAAACTCAGAATATGTATCCAAAGTCAACTGGATCAATTTAAACAATGAGTTTCCATATATGGCAGAGTTTATCAAAGGACAAATAAATAGATGTCTCATTACAGCATATTGCAGAGATGTAGCAACAGAATTTTTGAGTTTTTTGTCCCCTATCCGAATGCCAGATTTGTGCATTGAAAATATTATAAAGTATTTCAACAATGATAATATATTGTATCTTTGTCGTACAATTATGAATGAAGAATAAATTAGCTAAGAATTTTTCATTTTTCCCAATGAATAATTAGAAAACCATCAGTCATTGTGATCATAAATTTCAATCAATGAGAAATATTTTTTTAATTCTTATTTAAATACCTAAGGTGCTTTTTTTGTTTTTAACTTCATTCCAAACCTTACTTATCAGTTGATAAAGATGGTATTGAAGTGAACAATTTATATTAGATCTTACTTACAAGACTTGTGTTAATTATAGTCACATATGATAAATAAACATTTAGCATTAGAGTATTTTTAATATATAATTTTAATAAAACATAGTACCAGGATTTTTGAGCTTATTGTTCCCAATTTGGTTGCGAGATTTGTGCATTGAAAATATTATAAACTGTATTTCAACAATGATAATATATTCCATATTTGTTTTGTAGCTATGAATCAAAATAAGATAGACTAAAATATTTAACTTTGTCTGATGAATAATTAGAATGCCATCATTGTGATAATATATTTTTATTTTAAGTAATTTGTTTTCTTTGAAGTGAGTACTTTGATGTGAGTTTGAATATTTTGATATTTCCATATTGTATAATTTTTGGATTTTACCAAAATTGGAACAAAAATAAACACCTTGTAATACATCTTATACTTCTATTGGTTATTCTCAAGCATGAAAAAGAAAACAAAAAAGAGAGTAATCTTCACTTGCATTTTTTTAAATGAAAAAAAAATTGTCAATAAAATACCCATCTCGATCCGTTTTCATTTAAAAAAGCAACAAAAATTTGATATCCGCTAATATTCGCCTTCCTAGTCCTATCTCAAAATGAATAAGCGTTCAATGACGAAAAGTATTTTTCGCTTACTATTGCATAATAGTACATTATGAAATAGTGGCATAAGTAG